CAAAAACATTTTTCACCACTTAGTGCACCAACCCTTGTAGCACCAGCCCAACCTCCTCTTTATGGTCCATTGATAACTTCCAGTCACCCTCCGACCAGTTCACGTTTGTCAAAACCATTGATGAAGAGGAGTGCATCAGTGCCTCCTGGTGCGGACTTGCCAAATATTGCCCCTACACAGATCAGTCCCGGTACAATTCCTGCTGGTTTAGCTCAACCACCATTGTCTCCGGAAGTGTCCAGTAAGATCTTTTCTATATCGTTTTTTCACCAACTCTATTCTATTTTCTCTTTATGTTTTCATTGCACATCCCAACTAAACATCCATTTTATAATTTCTATGCAAGATGTTAATGAAGTGCAAGATAGCATCTGAACATTAGTTGTCTGTATTAAATTTATATTCACTTACTGAAAATGAAAGAACTTATTAATAATGCTAACTCATATTTGTATTGTGTATGAAATGCTTACATGGGTGTTTTCTCACTTTGCCAGATTGTTGCAAGCCAGATTCAATTTTGAAACAAGGGACTCATAGCTGCCATTGTGTGTATCCCATTAAGCTTGACCTTCTCCTTTTAAATGTCTCACAAAATTGGAATGTTTTCCTACCCGAGTTAGCTGCTCAGCTTGATCTGCTGCCTAATCAAATTGAGATTATCAATTTTTATGTCCCCAGTTTATCAAGATTAAATATCTCAATGGATATTACTCCACACACAGGGATCAGTTTCTCTGCCAGTGATGCATCTAAAATAAAATCTTTACTTGTGATGCATAGGGTTCATTTTGACCCAAATGTAGTTGGAGATTACGAAATCCTTAATTTTACATGGTTTGAGCCTCCAGTGCCTTCCCCAGGTAATTTTTTTTTTTTTGCTTAGCCAGTAAAGTAGATTTCATTAATAAAACTGCTCAAGCCAGTAGGGTGGCAGTAAGAACTGCTCCAAAGGAGTAAAAAACAGAGTGCAAGCACTCGATTTTACCAGCATGCAAACCTCATCAATGCAAACATGGCTAATACAAAATAGCTGGTAAATTATGATATGACTTATATTCTTCTAAAATCCATCTGACTTTTAAAAGCCATTTGTTCTTGATTGCATATAGTTTTCATATGCAATGGTTTTCTCCACAGCTCATTGCTTTTGTTTACTTTTATTTTATATATGGAAATTGTGGTTATTGTTGTGGTATATGTCCTGACAAAGCTCAGCATCTGGTTTACAGCTCCAGTTGTGGTTTCAGAACCTGTAGAAGCGCCAGCACATCAATCCCCTTATTCTACATCACTCAGCCCTTCAAACAAGGGGAAACACTCAAATTTGATTCTTGTTTTTGGTATTTCTGCTGGCATACTGGTTTTTGCTATAATATCTGTGCTTATAATTTGTTCGTGCACATTCCGTGAGGGAAAGCCTAATGCATCTCTGAAGGAATCTGGTATGTGTCTTACATGCAATGACATTGAATTTTTTGTGCTGGCTCTGAGGTTTAATGTTTTCATTGTATTTACATAGTTTTATCTAACTAGCAATTGATCTCACCCCAAGTTACGCTGTGGATGAATTTTGGGATAAGAAGACTTGTTTTTCTCTATCTTGTCATGTAGGTTGACTGAAAATAACTTCTGAAATGAATCTTAGTACTTACCTAAAAGTAAAGGGGAAGAAAAATGATTCAGAAGTCTCTAGAATCAAAATTTCCCCCCTATGGTACCTTTGTACAAAAAGGGGAGCCTATGACTTGAATTCATTGACATAGCAGCATTGAAGTGAATGCAAGAAGCAGTATGATACTATGCTTTTCAAAAAAAAATAAATAAATAAAGGAAGCAGTATGATACTTCAAGAATGTCATAATGAAGGATACTTTCCCATTTGATTTGCTAAATTTTGCTCATTTTAAGTTTTTTTTTTTTTGATAGATCATCTCAAGTATTTTTAGTTTAAAAAAATAAAGCATTCATTTTTGCTGATTTTAGTGCAGCTTTTTACAAATTTATGATTGGCCATTTAATGCTCAAGGAGAGAATGTGACTTCTGAAACTCTGTTTGAGATGAAAGTGTAATGTATGTAAAAACATTTGCTGCACCAAAAAAATTAAAGCATAATTTGCTTGATTTTGGAACTTTAGTCACACCTTATGAACAATAATGCTGATCAATGTTGCAGTAATAGTACTGTTGTAAATTTAGATTTTGCAGAATGTAAATGTTCTAAGTCCTTATTGTTTCATTATTTTCTTGCAGTAAAGCCAAGAACTATAGATGCAGTTGCACGAGCAGGGTCTCTACCCCACCCAAGCAGTACACGGTTTTTACAGTATGAAGAACTTAAAGAAGCAACAAACAACTTTGCACCTGCAAGCATACTGGGGGAGGGTGGGTTTGGCAGAGTTTTCAAGGGTGTTTTAAGTGATGGTACAGCTGTAGCGATTAAAAGGCTTACCAGTGGAGGGCCCCAAGGAGATAAAGAGTTTTTGGTTGAAGTTGAGATGCTTAGCAGGTTGCATCATCGTAATCTCGTGAAACTTGTAGGTTACTATAGCAGTCGTGAATCTTCACAAAACCTACTTTGTTATGAGCTTGTTCCAAATGGAAGCTTAGAAGCCTGGCTCCATGGTAATTTGCCTTTCTAAATTTGATCCTATTGGCAGCTCATTTGTTGATGTTATTATTTTCAACTGGAGTCACTTTTGATACCTGATACTGACTCTGGTCCTGTTTTGCCTCAGGCCCGTTGGGAGTAAATTGTCCTCTGGACTGGGACACCAGAATGAAGATTGCACTTGATGCTGCAAGAGGACTTGCATACCTGCATGAGGACTCACAACCATGTGTTATCCACAGAGATTTCAAAGCATCCAATATATTACTTGAGAACAACTTTCATGCTAAAGTTGCTGACTTTGGCCTTGCCAAACAAGCACCTGAAGGCAGAACAAATTACCTGTCTACTCGTGTAATGGGCACGTTTGGGTTGGTTTCATTCACTCCTCCTGTAAATCTTGCTCTCTCTTGTTTCATTGGACACTAATGTAGACTGGGATTGATCTATAGGTATGTAGCCCCTGAGTATGCTATGACTGGACATCTACTGGTAAAAAGTGATGTTTACAGCTATGGAGTTGTACTGCTTGAGTTACTCACTGGTAGGACACCTGTAGATATGTCACAACCATCAGGGCAGGAGAACCTTGTCACTTGGGTGAGTAATAACCTAGAGTTAGCCTCACTGTTGATGATGCTTTTGTATCTCATTTTTTGCAATTAGGTATTTGCAGAGTATAAACCTTAACCTTCTAGATAATTTTTACAAGTTGGCTGTACTGCTTTCAGGCGAGGCCAATTCTGAGAGACAAAGACCGGCTGGAAGAGCTTGCTGATCCAAGGCTTGGAGGGAAGTACCCGAAGGAAGATTTTGTACGGGTTTGCACAATTGCAGCTGCATGTGTTGCACCTGAGGCAAGTCAAAGGCCCACAATGGGTGAAGTGGTTCAGTCATTAAAAATGGTGCAGCGTGTTACAGAATATCAGGATTCAATGCTATCCATTTCCAACAACCGGCCCAACCAGAGACAGTCCTCCACTACTTTTGAGTCTGATGAGACATCGTCAATGTTCTCTTCTGGTCCTTACTCTGGTCTAAGTGCCTTTGACAATGACAACATCTCGCGGACAGCAGTTTCTTCTGAAGATCTTCATGAAGGACGATGAACAGTTTGAAGAGAGATATAATCAACTGGAAGCCTTACTTCAGTTGGAAGCGCATCACAACCCAATACACCAGTGAGAAATTTTCTCAATAGGAAGTGGTAAATTTGAAATAGGATTTTCAAAGGTGTCATAGATTTTGTAATTTGGAATAGATTGGAATGGGTGCTTCTTGTTGTCCCAATTGTTGTACCACTGCTAAGTTTTCCCCTATGCAGTGGTTGATGTAATTTTGTACATATGCCTTGTAGCTTGTTCAATTGCATTGGCTTTCGATTTCGAGGGTTTATATTAAACTTTTCTTTATGGCTTCCACACTGTTTTTGAGATTTATGTTAGATTTTCTTCTTTGTACTTGGGTTTTTATTACGTTTACTTTTATGTTTCATCTTGGAAGTGCAACAAGAAGTTGTCGACTCGACGGACGGTATAATTTATTGACCTACTTGAGTGGCAATGTAAAATACTGCTGAACTTTACCTTTTCATTCCTTAAAGGAGACGCCTCCATCAATTAAGAGTTTTGAGTATCACATTAGGTCTTCATTACGAGATTCGAGAAAGTTATTTTCTTTTGCATAGCTCAATTCATATGTATAAATACAAAATATTAATTTAAATCACAATGGGTTTTTATCATTCGTATATGTTGGAAAGCTTGCAGTAATATCCAATCTTAACTGTTATGTGAACTTCATGTGAAATTTTGCTTATATTATTGCCAGTCGTATAAGTTGTAACTTGTCCAACGCCAATATATGTGATATCTAGTCTTTACCTTAGTTAGAACACTCTAAGCTTAACGGTTCTAAATCAAATGAAAACCTCATTTGCTCGAAGATCCTAAGCATGGTTGTGATTAATTTAGGATTTCTTAGGTGTCATGTTTCTATTTTCTCCTCTAACTGATATGAAGAACAAGAGAGGATTTTAATGCAAACCATTGTAATAAAAGGAAAACTGGTTATGCTAAAATTAGATTGTGGCAACAAGATCGCGTAGAGACGCTATTTCCATGCAAAGCCGATGCCTTGGGAAGTACTTTAAATCTTTCGTTGTTTCCCCTCCCTTACCCGCAAGCACCCCACCCTATCCCTGTCTCTCCTCTTGCGTTTGATTTCCTTCAAGAGGACGAGACCATGGCGATCAACC